GATTTGAAAAAAAAAAAAAAAAAGATAAAAAAGCAGAACCCAAACAATTTTCTTCCTGTCTCATCTAAAACTGAAAGTTTTTTTCTTCTCCAAGTCCTGTGGTACAAATGCTGCTGCTACTTTTTCTGCAGAAAGACAAAATTACTTCCAAACCCGGGCTGCAATTTGAAAAATGTCACTTAAGAGCTGTTTTTTTTTTTTTCTCCTGTATTTTTCTGAAAAGGGTTGCAAGTGTGGAAGGCAAAAGGGCAGTCCACAAGTCAGAAGAGAGGCTGTCAGCACTAGCAAATGAGTCTCACACTTTAGCCAGAGAATTTGCGCTCATTCATGTGAAGTGTCCACATGACACACACAGATGAGCCCTTGCTTAAGGTTTTATTCTTCTGCTGGTTTTGTTGCTTGGAGATAAAATTACAGTGTATGAGACTATCACACTGTCATCAAACAGGTATTAGGTTTTTCTCAGTACATTACTTCATTTTATATAACACCAAACATCCACATTTCCAAAAGGTGTACATTGCACACTCCTCCCAGAGCAGGGGAAGAGCTTCAGGAAAAAGTAATTGATAGGAAAGCCCTGAAAACTCATTTAAAGAAAAATGTGTTTTGGTTACCAAGTGACTGACATAGAAGGCACTACTTTAGTGCTCCATATACCTCACTTTTCTCACGGATAAACATTTGTTTGCCAACTTGCATTAATGACTCACACACCTGAACTGTCTAAAACTGGCACTTGCCCTTTAAATAGTTAAACAGCTGCATGTGTGTAAGTAGCTGTATCTTTCAGAAGCCTCTGAATGCTAAACTACTGATCTCCAGTATGCAAATGGAGCAGAAACTGGGGCAAGAAACACTATTTTTATTATAAGCTCTCCTATAAATTTCCACCCTGCCATCTCCCCTCTAGCTCAAGGAATAACTGGAAATTTGGAGGTAGCTGCCACAACCTCATAAAAGCTCTCAGCTGAGTCACACCAGGTAAAGACCAGGCCAAAACCCCTGACTTCAGAGACAAACTGCTCCCCACCCTAATTTGACTAGTGGCTGGAAACAGCTGACGATTCAAATCTTTATGCTTTTCCCACCTTCTCTTGTCTGTATAAATAAGCACAGAGTGCTTTTTAAAACAGGAAAAAAAAAAAAAAAGAGAAGAAAAGAAGGATGTGGTTGGTTATGCCACTTAGAAGAATACATGTAAGGCATGGTCTGTAAGTGAACGCTCTCGTGCTCTATAGAACAACCTGAACTGAAGAAATGCTGCTCTGCTTCCTGGGGTTCAGGTAGAGTAATTCATATTTTAACTATTAACTTTTATTTTTCCAATAGTTTAATAGCAGTGTTGATTGTAGACGCTATTTTTAAGCTAGTTTGGTGATTATTACTTACAAAGTCAAACAATAAGATCAAACATCTAGTCTTGCTTTACTAAGCGAAGAAAGATTTCTACTTTAGTAATGAGTATAAATCTATTCTGTTGCAATCAAAATATTTAGAAAAAAAATGGCAAGAAGTTATCCAACTACAGATGGAATATATGGCAGGTGTGGGATCTGCTGCTCATCATTGCACTGAGACATTTTATTCTTTTCTAGTACATCCAACAAGAGAATAACTTATATCTAACATGAATAATATTCTAGAAAATAGATGTAAACGAGGGATGTTTTTGCTAATGAAGCTTTCATGAGTAAGGATACTCTTAATCTGCCATCCCAAATCTGTGCTCCCATACAGATTTGTGTGAATCCCAACTAGAGCAGACGAACTCGGATCCAAGCTACAAAGAGGAAACCATTAATGGATTCCTCTGTGCTGTAAAAAACCCAGTGAACATAATACTGTAAAACCTTGCTGTTCATTTCCTACGCCAGCACACCTTTCCTGCTCACTAAACCCCAAGCTCCTGCTATGGGTACACCAAATTAACTTTTAACTAGTTCATAGGAAGTGGAAAATCCTCAGTAGGAGAAACTGAGAACAAATGGTGCAGCGATGACGCAGAGGCTGAACCAGCTAAGACACACTGTCTCAAGTACTGTTAATTACAGGTTCTTATGTTATCTTTTGGCTTTTAGAAGTTGACTGAAACAATCCTAAAGCCACAGCAGATTCCTTCAGAAAACTCGTGGAGGACAGGGAAATTTTCCCTGGAAGACTGAAAAAGAGCAAACATGGTACCTGTTTCTTAAGAAGGTGGAAAGGGTGGAGTTGGGAAATGGTGGGTCACTAAACCCGGCTTTAATATTTGAAAAAACGTTGGAATCACCCACCACAGAATCTGTTTGCAAGCACACAGAAGTGGTAAGTAAAAATCTGCACAGATTAATCTGAGAATGACTGAAATAGAAGTAATTTGACTTCCTCTGTGACAAACTGGCAGCACTGGGGGATGGGGTGTAGGAGGGGGAAACAGGCTTCACACACTATCTCTAAAGAAATTCTCATAGGCAGACAAAGGAAACATGATCTGTATGAAACCTCTATATGATTAGTGAGTACCCACTGAGATACTAATCAGTGTCTACCATACAGGAAAGATGTCTCTGGTACAGTTCAGTATCTTTCAGGATGAGTATCAGTATTTTTATTAATAATTTGGATAACACAGTGAGGATGACGCTTATTAAATGACTGCAAGGTTATTTGTCAATGGAAATGAAACTCCAAATAACTTTGAGCAAAAATATTACTTGGTCTGGTCTGATTGAGTTCCTTTGGATTACTCAAGATATGAAATTTGAATTTGAGAGGGTAAAATAATAAAAAACATTATGGTTTTGACAATCAGACACTCTATTATTGAAATTACCAATTTAAAGGCTGGCTAACATTTTCTTTAAATCAATCATTTTCTGGAGTAACGCTATACGTACTTTGGTACTAATGAATTCAAAAGGAAAAGCACACAGTGAACTGGAAATTTGATAAAAGTAGAACCAAATGTCAGACTTGAAGAGACAACATGCACAATTTTCTGATATATTTATTTTGTGGAAGTGACAAAACTTGTTAATCCAGCACTTTATGTACTGTTTAATGTAATCTGATTTCCCCCAGCTAGATGTATGCTCTTGATCACAGGGCACCCATGCTCACACAACACCACAATTTTCCCATGTCCCCTTACCTGTCCTGCCCTCCAGTGACAGCAGCACCTGCCTACAATAATCCCTGTACACATGGCACCAGTGCAGCTCCATGGTTACTGTAATTTTTCTCACCTGTCACGCACCACCAAACACGTGATTTTCTAAGTGACCGCCACGCATTTCTGGCTCAAAGGGACTGATTCCGCCTCATCTTGATGACCAAACGGATGTTTTCTTTTTGTTCTCATTTCTGACAGGTAAATCCACTGATAACATCCAGATTTCCTTTTGCTGTTTCCTAAGTTCAACAGAGCTGTGACAGCCCAACTCACGAGGCTCAGCCCAGTTCTCTGCAGGTGGCTGTTGTATCCAGCCCCTGACCAACAGCACCTCCTCACAGGTCACCCTCACTCCACAATGGGCTCACTGGGGGAAACACAGCCAAGGAATAGCCTTGGTGAATTTGTGCATCCCCTTAGGAACCTCCATCCACTCTGTTTGTAGTCCTCATCAGCTTTCATGTAACCATTTCACCACCTGCTTAACAGCCCTTGTTCTAACCCCTCTTTTTTCAAGTGCTATTTAGTTGTTTCTAGTACTTTGCTGCAATGCAAGTGCCTAAAATCTTCAGCCTTTTCCTTATGTGAAAAAGCAGATACTTCATCAAAGAAGATAATGGTCTGGTAAGAACTGTCAGAGACTTATTTAGCAGTTTTCTTTAAAAATCTGTGTGAAGCTTAGACTCAACAGCTATAGAATTGCTTTAATCACATTTGACACTCTTTCCTTCAACAGATGGACTAGATTAATCCCTTTCCAGCTACACTGATAACTTACATACTTTATAACAGTTACTGAGTTGAACTTTCAGCATTATCTGCCTATTCTTTCTGTAGTCTGAGCTGGAAACAAACTGTTTCACTAATACGAGCATGTTAAGCCCTGAGTGCATTCTGTGTTCAGACACAGTAATTTCCATTGTCACTCACTGGTTCCCCCAGGTCATCCCACCTCTGACCTCCAGCACAAAATCAGGATTCCTATGAAAAGTAGTGGTATTAGACTTGGCAAAATACAAGGCTATCTCCTCATTTAATGTTTAGCAGAACTACTTATTCCCCATCTCTCTATCTCTCTGTTTTGTCATTTATTTTTTTTTTTAGCCATGCGGACAAAAAAATCTTTCACTAATTGGTTTTTGGTTTCTCTAGCAAAGTTCAGCTCCATTTGGCATTGCTTAAGAGCTACCTGTCACTTTTTGTCCTCCAAAGCAGAGATTCTCCTCCTGATCAAATTATTCTTAAAACATCTTCACTTACTCCTAAAATTTTTTTTAACAACTTGATTGGCTGAGCTGGACTGGGAACTTTAACTACCAATTTTGTTCACCTTTATTAGGATTTTTTGTGATTTTGATTTAGAGAGGTTATAAAAAAGCACTTTTAAGGCTTAGTTTGTTAAAGCATTTGTATATTTTTAAGAACAGCAGTAACACTTAATTCCACACAAATTATACTTTATTAAGAGCTGTATTATGAAGATGTCATCCCTTGCATTTGCTAATCTTTGCTGGATTATCCTAGATAATCAGTTAAAATCTGAAGTACTTGCAAACCCCAAATTGAAACAGTGCTGAAAGTTAAACACAAGTGAGAAAACACTCTTACTCATTTTACACCTAGATAAAAGATCTGACCTTTAAAAATACTGCATTGGATATAAGCAGTATATGAAATTAAAATATCTTGTAAATGTGGGTGTAGTAAAAGCAATCAGCAGAAACTACTGATGCAGGGAATCATTGATATAAGAGTAAAATCCCAGCTATCAGATTGACATGCCTTAATATAGAAACATAATTTAATTAATCTCTGTGTAGCAACAGAACCAAACATAAGTGTTAGGGAAGTTCCAACAAATGTACAAGTTACTAGAGAGAGATAGTACTCTAGAGTTTTTGAGTATGTATGTTTGAATGGGTCAGTCTCTTCACTATCTCAATGGGATTATATTACAGGGCGTGGTAGTGAGTGGACACTGACTACTTGCCATCGAGAATCAGACTCCTTTATAAGAGATCAAGCCACTCAAAATGGAAATAGAAAGCTCTGCGCTTGAAATGAGGTTTCGCTTTCCACAATAGCCAAAGGCTGACCAAGAGTGTAGCTCAAAACCAAAAGAAGCCCAGAACTGTGTATGAAAGTATCTTGATCTGGATTGTCAAGGCATTACCAGGAGCCTGACACATTTCCAACCTGCTCTCTCTGTCATTTTAGGGGAGAAATGACCAACAGCAGCAGGGAATGTGATTTTACAGCCGTCGACAGCTTGGCAAAGACTCTGCAGCTGGGGATTTCCATCCCCACCTTCATTCTTGGGCTGGTTCTCAATGCCCTGGCCCTCTCTGTGTTCTGCTGCTTTTGGAAGAAACAGACCAAAACCTCAGTTTACATGATCAATCTCGCACTTGCGGATGTCCTGCTGCTTCTGTCGCTCCCACTGAAGTTGTACTACTCTGTCACAGAAGCACCTGGGCTCCTGTGCTCGTTCATACAGGCTCTTTACTTCGTCAACACGTATGTCAGCATCTTCATCATTGTCTGCATCACTGTTGACAGATACATCTGCATAAGGCATCCCTTTGAAGGTCGAGCTAACCAATCCCCCACGTGGGCTGTCTTGATTTGCTGTGTTGTCTGGGCAGTAGCTTGGATTTGCAGCAGCCCAATGTATGTGTTTCACAAGAAAGATCCTTTCACGTGCTTTCACAACATGTCAGAAAAGGCGTGGAGCGTCCCACTCATTGTTTCTGTGGAAATATTTGGATTTTTGATCCCACTTGCAGTGATGGTTTTCTGCTCTGCTCAAAACATCTGGATTCTTCTGAATCACAAAAGCCAAGCCAAAAAGAAGGTAGAAGGCAGTGGCTCCCTGCGAGTAATTATCGTCAACCTTGTGGTGTTTTTGGTGTGCTTCACACCTGTTCACCTGGCGATCTGCCTCCAGTGCCTGGTGAGGCAGCACGTGATAGTGGACTGCAGCCTGAAACAAACCATCAGCCTCTTCATTCAAGTGTCTATGATATTTGCCAACCTGAACTGCTGCCTGGATGCCATCTTCTACTATTTTGCTGCAAAAGAATTTCGTGAGAAAACACACCTGAAAAAAGCTATTGAGGCATGTCGTGTCTTTAAGCCTTGTGCCACGTGATGGGACTGCCAGCAGTGGAAGAACCTTTTCCTTGGCTCCCCGTTGCCTCACAGGACACTGACAGCTTTATCCCTGACACTGCAGGAGGGTCACCATGGTCATGGCAGGGAGGGTGCCAGAGGGAGAAGGACAATGTTTTTCCAGTGAATGTGAACCCGTGCCATATTTTCCTTCCTTTTAAAGAGGAAAAAGAAAACTACTGGAAAAAGGAACCAGCATTAGCAAAGTGACAGAGTGACACCAAAAGAAGCATTAGCCTTAACAGTATCTATTAAATGTGAAAGGCTTGCCAGAGGAAAACTACCCAGATCATGGGAATAGCACTTAAAATCAGGTTTGTCATAGCTGCACCAGTTTTCCTTTTGCCAATGTGATCAGAAAGTTGTTGTCAGAGGCAAATACAGAAACAAGAATTCAAAACCTTCTTTCTAATTTAGAAGGTATCTGGCAGTTAAAAGGCAGTATCCAGCCAAAAGTCTGACTCTGCTCTTTCCTTCTGTACAGCCTACAGAAGGCCACTGTTGGAGCTCAGTCCTTTGGACAGCTTGGCCACCCTGGGATAACAGTGAATCCTCCCCCTGTAAGCATTAGACACTGGTCAGGGCTGCTACGTGGGGCAGCAGCCCCTACTCTTCCATGGAGGACATGCTACCCAGTGTGGAACCCCCATGGACTACATTTGGTACCAGCAATTCCTGAGCAACAAACATTTATGATTACCTTTCCTGAGGAATCATCACAGTTTTCCCTTGCGATTTTAAAACTGGTTTTGCATGTGAAAAACCAAAAGGACCCCTTCAAATACGGCATTTAGTGAAAGACTGTATGTGATTAACTGTGTTTCTACATCACTGTATTTCTATCAAAGACATAACATAACATGTATATGAAATTCTTCTGCCTGTTTGCTCATTCTTTCTTGGGGAAGGGGAATTAAGAAAGCAAGCCCTGCTTCACAGAAAATTAGGGAGTGACTGATATTCTCCTCGCTTCCAGCTGGAAGACTAGACCAGCTCTATCCAGCTCATTCCTTAGAGAAGTCCTTCTAGCCTATCCTGTACACTTCCCAAAACACCTCTGGGCATGCCTCCACCCTTCTCAGTCAGCACTTCTGGATTGTCACCACCACAGTGTCATTTGCAAGTTTGGTTCTGAATCTAATCTGAAGGTTTCCTTGTTACAATTTAAGCCTAGCTTTTCTTGTACCCTTATCTGGGCATTTTTCATGCTCTTAGCCAGAAACACTTTCACATCAAGAAATCAATTTCAGCTGTAAAAATAACCTAAGACTGCTGGTAATCCAATCTTCATTCTGGGGCAGATATTCCCTTTATTCAAAATGTGAAAAGAAATTACCTTCTGTCCAGAGCAAATTAAAAAGAAAGGGGGCCGGTTTTGAAAATACAATTTACTGTCAGTTGATTTTCATAGAAGTGTTTGACTGTGCAAGTAGTCAGCTGCACATATCTAATGGTGGTCCCGATAAATGAACATTTTAAAACTTCTTAGTACTAAAACTATGACCACAGCTGAGGTGTACAAGGAGTTTGGAGGCAAAGAAAGGTTTTTATCATAATCTTTGCCATTATCCATGTAGCAGCAAGTGGAAAAGCTTTCCAAAACAGTAGGTTTTCTAAACATTATTTGTTACTGCCTTAATCACTCAGAAACTTACAGCCTTTTCAATATGAGTTAACTTTTCCTTTTTGCACTTTTCACATTAATTTGCATATGAAATATGTGTGAGAAAGAACATGATTTACTAAATAAACTGTATATATAAAGCGTATGATTTGAAAATACATTTTAATTTCCCAATTTGACATCAGTGTATTATTCTCCTCTACCTATTTCATGGCAAACTTTTGCCATTTTCTTCTTAAAACAGTTCTGAGATGAGGAAATACACTGGCTATCTAAAAATTACTTGGCAGAAGCAACTGTCACCCATCACACAAGGCTAGGATTATTAAGTCAGGATCAATGAAGCAGTACCTTTGACTTTCAACTCATTTATCACTAAGCACTTTAAAAAGATCATATTCTAATTTTCAAAGGAATAAGAGCACATAGGCAGTAAGCAGAGAGGGAAAGTGTGCGAGGGCTCTCATATGTGGGAGAGGTTTGATTTGCCAGGACTAGGGAGAGAACATTCGCTCCTGTCAGTGCTTAGCCAGGGGTAGAGTCACACCAAACTCAGGCAGGGAAAGAGTTCCACTCACAGAAAGAAATCAATGTGATTTTCTCAATGAAGGAAACAGGAGCCATTTTATGAAAGTCTTCGTTTGTCTAAATTTTGCCTGTTATATATGCAAATGAGAGCAGCCTCTCTAAGCATGCTTGAAATCTTTGAAGAAAAGAGAAGGAAGAAAGAGAGCCCAGGGGGGGTGGCTTTACAGGCTATTACAATAGCCTGGTTTTTTACCACAAAAAGAAAGCAGGTCTTTTGAGCAAAAAGGTGTCACTTTCCATCCACTGATTTTCAAGATGAACTTACGTTTAAGTAAAACACTTAAATCCTGTATTTGACCTGCATATAGTTCTTTCTAAATCAGAATTTTACATACAGGCTCCTCTGTGAAATTTCCTGTTAAGTCTGGAGAATCTCCAGTTGGTTGTACTTTTATACCTGAACAAAAGCAATAAAAATCTTCATGCAGCTTGAGAAGGTACAAAACAATTTTGTTGATTAAAGCTGAAAAGTATTTGACATTTTAAAACAACAAAAATTTTCCCGAGTCAATACACAGGTTTAGTACAACAGATGAAATTTCTTCTATCTTGATGTTATTCTTAATACAGAGAAAAGTGATAAGAACCTGAATGTGAATGCCTCACATGCCCAAGTTTCCTTCCAGGACCTCAGTTATACTGCAAAGTCAAAGAAACACTATCTCAGTGGAAAAAAAAAAATTTAAAAAAAAAATCAAGCGCTATCCAAAACCACCCAAAGCTGTGTCTTTAAAAATTACATTTTCAGTTCTGCTCTCTTCTGTGAGTTGAACAAAACCACAATTGCACAATTAACCACAGACCTTAAAGAGCAGCTGTATTTAACCTTTAATTTTTCTGGACAATGCTGTTTCAGGACACACAGGTGAGAATATTCACAAAAAGCAATTTTGTTTTTATCCAGTTAAACTCTTCCAACTGGGCCAAACCCCAGAGGTCTTTACAACATAGAAGAGGGCTGATTTTTCTTGAGGACATTTTTATCAATGGCAGATAACTCCATCAACATCCTACAATTAGCATTTGTTCAATAGTCAGTGTGATTTCCTAAGCTGTATTTTGTAGCCTCACGAAACAACTGAAAGACAGAAGAGCATAGAAGGTAGTTTGGCCAACCAGGAAAATAACATGAACTCAATTTAAAACAAACACACAAAACCTAACAACACACAAAACCACACAGGATTTGTTCTCCAAACTCCTTTCCTGTCCCTTTGCCTGGTCAGTTATATCATCTTCCATTTCCCAATCCTGCTTGAGCACAGAATTTCTCCTAAGGGGCCACAGTGAGCACAGATGGGCATGTGCCCTGTAGAGTCAGTCCAACATCATTTCATTATGATTACATACATCAGCTAAAACACACAAAGCAGACAGCTTTCCACTCGGTTGAGAATGATTGACCACAAAGAAAGCCTGATAATTGTCACTGGCAGTTTGTCGTATCGGGTATTTTCAAGCGCTCAGAAATCTTCAAAGTGAGAAGAGCAGCCACCTCACTGCCTAAGGCAGCCTCCAGATCACAAAAAGAAGCTGAACGGGGCTGAAAGACTGAAACTTCAGAGTCTGATCTTCAGACAAATATCCTCCCAAACCTCGCAGCACTGTGTGCTGCTCTAAGTGATATTTCACTCAAGGCTTTTTCTCCAACACCACAACCTAACCTGCCCAAAACCCATGCGAGAGATAGACCGAGGCTACTCAAAGGTACAGACTTCCGCCTCTCTCATCAAAATGGATTAGCAGGTTTTTTTCCTCCTCACATTCAGAACATTTTCCACTTTAGGCTAATTTATTCCTACGACACTTGGGTGCCCTCTCCATCCTTCCAGCCAAACACAAGGAGAGGAGCTGCGCAGAGGCAGCGTCCTTTGAGGACCTGGCAAGTCTAGCGGGAGCAAACAGAGAGCCCACCAGCCCTGTGTGCAGACCTTCTGAGGCGACTGTCAGCTGCCATAAGAGCCTGCAGGGACCTGCTCAGCACCACAGTGGTAAATGGCAGAAGCTTGGATAATCCCTTTATGGAGTTAGGGGACGATGAGACCTTGGCTGCCGCACACCAATATAATTTCCCAATTTGACATCAGTGTATTATTCTCCTCTACCTATTTCATGGCAAACTTTTGCCATTTTCTTCTTAAAACAGCTCTGAGATGAGGAAATACACTGGCTGCCTAAAAATTACTCAGCAGGAGCAACTGTTGGCTAGAAATCTATTTGCATTGGAATACCACTCCTAGGAACTGATTGCCACAAAATAGCACTATGTGATGGGCTTTTGAAGTTCAGTTACCTCACTGTTAGCTGGAAAACTCCAGAGAGATAAAACTTACCCCTTCAGCAAGGGTATGCCAAGTTCACACAAGCAATCTTCTGTTTATCTTTTTAACGTCAGGCCAACACACAGACTAAAGCAAGTGTTAGCACTGAAGCACACTGGAACAGACTAAGAATAGTCATATTTATATAGTGCCTTTCATCTGAGGAAGTCAGAATGAAAGTGAGAGATACGATCCCACGCTGCACAGACAGACTGATCTCCATCTAGTGATGGAAATAGAGGAAGCTAAAAGGTGAACCAGTAGCCAAGCAGCTGGTGTAGTTCAGGTCCTGCAAAGTGATTCTGTGTCCCTGGAGGGCCAAAACTTATTGCCTTTGGCCCTGTCAGAAATTTCACTTTAAAATATCTGCAAAATAAAAGAAATGCTGGCAACACTCACTGCAGCATATGACATGACTGAGGGATCACCAGAGCCAAGTTCATGCTGGAAACGTGGATTTTTAATTTACTTTTTCTTTAATCACTGTCCTTTCTGCCTCACCAATAGGTCATAGGGATGGCACTGCTTTCTCCAGCACCCATTGCTCCGAGGTGAGGACTCACACTCCCAGGAGTGAACTCAGTACCCAAGTCCAACAGACCTGCAGTTGAGGGACACCAGGATGCCACCTACACTGCGTCATCTGTACCGACATATTTCACTGCAAAACCCCTCACCCAGCATCTGGCACCTCTTCCACACCATGCCCAGCTGCTTTTGTACATGCTGCCTGTACAGAAGGTCACAGTGCTCACTCATTTAAAGCAGAAGAGGCAGTGCTGCGGGGAGGCAGGGCACACTTGCAGACCTGATGACGAATCTCAAAGCTTGCCCATGATGCAGGTGTTTTGAAGCACACACATCCTGCTATTTATCTTCTCATTCCAACCAAGACTGAATTTACCTAGTTCAGTGCATGGGTGAAGTCTTCTTGTAGTTCTGGAAACTGCAAACAGCATGGAAACAGCATGGACATACATGATCATCACACCAAGATCACACTCCAACACCACTATTTTTCCTTTTTAAAAATGCAACTATAATTAAACATTGAGACATGTTTAAGTAAACATGAGACATTCCTGTTACAGCTAACAGAGAGAGCAGAGAAAGGCTGTAAGTTGTCTGGTCATATGAGCTATATATTAAAAAAAATATATATTTTATCTTTTGTGCAATGTGCTGAAATGAAACTAAGGTTTCATTTTGGCCCCCACAGCAGTGCCAGTGCTCAGTGTACCCTTCCAGTTTCCCAGAGGTCCTCTCAGCAGCTTTATTTCTGAGCTGCCTTTTACCACACTGTAAAGGTGTCACACTGTCATTTGAGGGAAGCAGCTGCTTCCACCTCAAGCAAAGCACCATCCTGCAGTGTCAAATACAGAAACTAGTGAGGCTCCCTCAACACTCAATGAAGAGCTTTTGGCATCTCCAGTGAGCAATTCAATATTTTAACTTCTGACTTACCCACCCCAAGGACAGCAGGGTACTCGGACATCTGGGCTCTTAGATCATCTATCTGTGTACTTGCATATCTGTATCCTGCAGATGAAACCATACAGATGCTTATTAAGCATCTCTGCCATCCCAATCAACTCATTACTGAAAAAGATGCAGCCAATAATTATGCCAGAAGCTATATGAGCTCTGGAAAGGAGACCACATATGACTGCCCTTGTAGGTTAATAAGGGTTTACACAGCCATTATTATTTCTATTAAATCCACTAATTGCCTGGTGTTACTGGAAAAAATGAAGATTGTGGTGTTTTTCCGATACCTTTGATCTGTTTATTTACTAAGTTACCATGGTTCATCATCCCTTCACTCAAGTTTACGTTGGTTGGGGAATTTTCCCCAGTATTTCTTAAAATCATACCAAAACATACATGTCATTTCTTTTAGGAGATCCTAATGCCTCCTGCTTGTACCTTTTACAGACAGAGCCTTATCTCTGCTCCTACACCAAAAGCAAGTAATTCCAATTCAGTGAAAGCAAGACTTGCTCTCAGTTCCTATTGCAGTTGAAAAAATTGCTGAAACACCGTAAAGTCATCAAAATAACTACACTGAGTTCTTGCAAATCTCTGTCCCTCTTTTTCCTCTGCACCGTGTATTTTTAAGCGTGCGCAGCGCATAACAGTTTCAGTAAAATCAGAGAACTCTGCATATCTCCAGCTCTCTCATTCTAAGGTACTGAGATCACACTGCAAAGCAGAGCCCTGTGACACAATTGTCTTGAAACCATAGGAAATCACTTGGCTGGTTAAAAATACCAAAATCTGAGCTGTGGTAAGTGTGAATTTTTTTAGGGGTTTTGTTGTTGTTTTTGTTTGTTTTTAATGTAACAACAAGCTGTATGCTTAATAAAGACAGTAAAATTGTTACAAAAACTATAAACTATCACCTTCCAAGCTGTTTCTCTTTAGGCTTTAGAAGTAAAAACACAAAGATACCCTGAGAATTAAATCTTTCTCTTGAAAGTAGACACTATGACTTGTTTTGAGACAAACTTCTCTAAATTACTCTAAACTACATCTGCCCACTCTACATCGCAGGACCTTCTGTTCTTTCTCCTCTTTTGACTTCCAGTGCTGGAAATTCAGCTTGGGGGATTCAACCAGATCATCTCTTATTTATATATCCCCGTCAAACAAATTCTGTGCCAGCTAAAGTTTGTAAAAGTCCGTTTCATTGGTGCTTTCTGGCAACACACAAACATAAGAAGGGACCAAAGCTGATACTACGACCAGAGCCTCGGCAGCAAGGATGCTGACAATGTGAGAACAAGCACGTGCTGCATTTCCACGCTCATTTTGGAACCTGCTCTCTCTGGCACCTGCTCTCTCTGGCACCTGCTCTCTCTGGCACCATTATTCATTTAGAGCACAGCCTGGTGCTTCGAGTGTCATCACTCACAGATTTCAGCCCAGCTCAGTGGGAATTGCCTCTGTGTTGGCTCAGTACTGCAGATAGGAGAAAAAGAGAAGCGAAAATGTCCTACCTTCAAATACAAATATTCTGGTATCTCCTAACTGCACCAAGTACCAGGTCGATTATGCAAAAAAGGTGTTCAGGGTGATTTTTAGGACAGAATTCGCCACCACCACCTTCAGCCTGACTCCAGCAAATCAGTCAGTGAGAATTCCCTGCTATGGAATGTTGACAAGATTTAATATATAACTTTTTAACAAAGAACATCATCACACACAGTCTCCCATCTTGCCTCCAGCCTTCTGCCCTTGAAACACCCTTGGCCACACAAGCCATGGTTTGGTTTTTCTGTCACCAGTTGCTGTCTCTTACTTTCCGCTGCACTCTTCCTACAGTTTGGCCCTTGTACAAATCAAGAGGTATCACCAGATAAAGCTTTCATCCTGTTTTCACCCAGTCCACCCACTGATGGAAACCTTTATCAATGCCAACATCAAGTGTCTTTAAAAATTAATTAGAGTTCAGTGTGGCAGATTCCATTGCCAATCTCTGCCAATATCAGAGTTACATCCACACCAGGGACTCACCATTAGTCCAGTCTTCAGGTCCCTGCTTTTTCAGTCATCACTATAAAAGGAGCAGTCAGCTGTTCTCTCATTTCATTTGACTGGAAGGTGAAGAGAGCACACATGAGCTTCAGTGAGATCTGTAAATGCCTAAAGATCAGATACATTATCAGGAGACATCTCAGCTTTAAAGCAATTTCAGACTATTGTAATTTCTGAAGTATTTTTAAAATAGTTGATTTTTTTTTAAGTGTGGGTGTTTACAGGGTTAGGCTTTTTGCTTTTTCTTACTCTAACTAGAACACAGGAACCAAACATCTAGCCCAAAGATGTACAATCACCTACCAATATCAGACGTGCCACTCAGCTTTTTTAACTAGCTGAACATGAAGTCACAGCCAAATTTTAGGCATCATCATTAAATAAGCAGGTTACTTCCTTTTGGGCAGGCTGTCAGTAGCAGTGTGGCTGCACCTGGGAGCACCAGTGGCCATATCCTTCCCCCAGGGTGCATCCTGCTGTGCCTGTGCCTGTGGAGCAGTGTGGGAGCCAGGCTAAGCCAGAGCCCCACTGCCTGGGCAGGTCTGCAGGGACACAGCCAGGGCTGGGGCTCTGCCCAGCACTCAGGCCAGCAGCAGCAAAGAAGAAGGCTGGATGCAAGTGCCTCCCAACTCTGCCTTGTGTTGCTCCTCCACAGCAGCCTGATTTTGGGTTACAGCTCGTCTCTGGCACCCAACGTCAAGTGCCATTTGAGGAAGAGGTTTGTAGATGAGGAAGAAGTTGCAGAGCCCCTTGGGCCATGACAGTGACACTCACAGCTGAGCTGTGATCCTTTCAAACATTCCCACGAGTGCATCACATAGAGGTCATGTCATCCCTGACTCACCTCTGTGGCAAAAAACCTCTGTAACAGCAGGGCTCTTATGAATCGTAAGGTACTGACATTTTTTCAAGTTATTAAAGGTTTCACCTCCTCTGTTTCTGTGATGTGCTTCTATACTAACACAAGCAAGGCCTGGAGGGCAGCACTGAAGTTGGGGCATGTTGAAAGCTGGTCCCTAAAGGACAGAGTTCTTACCACACACTCACTGCATTGACATGACCTGGCACACAGCTTCAAACTAATCCCTTTGCAAAGGTCAGTAAGTCAAAAAAATACATATATTGGAAAACAATATAAATAAACCACTGCCTGTTCCACATCACCACAGGCAGATAAGCCACCAACGCACACCTGTAGTGATCCAGAGCACTCTCAAGTCTCTCAGCAAGTCCAAATTCTGAGCTAGATATGTTCTTTGACAAAAATTTCTTTCATTTTTCAAGTGGCTGTACCATCTAGAGTACCAAATACATCACAATCCTCCTCCAGGTTCTAAGATAATAGCAATTACTCTAAATTTTAACATTCTGGGCGACACGTTTCTGTCCCTGAGCATGGTCTCGGCTGAAATGCAAACCCTATTCCATTCCTGAATTTTTCACCTAAAATTTGTCTCCTTAACACCATATTTCAATTTTCAAAACCGGTTTGTGGCTCAGTTGCTTAAAGTGAACAAGATTCCTTACCAGACTTCCCACTTTGCTTGTCCTCTAAGTCCTCTCTCCTTCCTAAAGCAGGAAGTTATCCCCCAGGCCAGGGAAAGTAGAGAAATCCCTCTAGCATCCCCAGTGATCACCCCGAGCAGCCATCCCCCTCCTCCTGCCCCTGCTTCTTCCACCTCACGTGACCCACCCTGGCAGTCACTCGTCCATGGGGCAGTTCTCCCAGGGTTGACTCTTGCTAGCAAGCCACAGCTGGGACTCTTCTGAGAATCTGCCCCAGATTTCTCTCAGCAGTGAGAAAAGGCTGCTTTTTCCTGTACATTGAAAGCTGTGGGATTGAGTCACCTTTCTTCTCGCGTTGTGTTACCCACGTGTTTCCCTTTCTTCTCATGTCATTGAGCTGGGAGACCTGAAGATCTTGCGTACACCTCAAGCTGGAGCACATGGTAAAAAGTGAAGAGCTGAAGGCGGTGTGAAATGACTGAGATGCAACATGAAAAAACCCCATGAACATGAAAACCCTGCCTGGGTTTCTTTCCTGCTGAGAGGTTCACTGCACGGCGCCCAGACCCTTCTTAATCACTAGCCCAGGTTTTGCCTTCAGAAGCGTGATGGGGCCGGGGTGTCTGGTATAGGAGATGGACCTGCGTGAAACAAAACACCTTTAAATAATGAAAACACCTTCAAATACAGCCATTCACCACAGGCAGAGAGATTTCTGAAGAGGAAATCAGCCATCTCCAGCATGGCCTGCCACAGAGCCAGCACTGGGGCCTGCCTGCTTTTCCTGCCCTTCTGTTGGGCACAGCCTGCCCTGGACTCCCTGCAAGCTGGAGCTAAAGGCAAACTGGCCTTGCTCTGTGCCTGTGCACCATGGAGTGCTTGACCTGCCTGAATGCAACTCAGCTGAATACAAACCAAATCCCAGCTCTCACATTCCCTTTGTGGTTCCAGTCTGTACAAAAACAAGTGTGTTGGTGTAACCAGCACCAAGTTAATGAATATAAATGGTTTTACAACAGCATTGCATGCCTCTTTTTTTTTTTCCTACCCTGTTGCTTATGTGATGTTAAGACCAGGCTGAAAATCTCTGTCCTGCTGAGCAGCAGCTGCCTCTGCCAGGGGTCACTTGGACACTGGTGTGGAAGGACATAATTTTATAGTGTAGGCATTTGTTTGGGGGAGGATTACAATTAAATTAACATGGGTGGGTTTCCCTCCAAACACACCTTCTCCTCAATCCAGAATCATAAGCAAGTGTTCTCCTACACAGAAATGGTCAATATTTCTTAGTTTGATAAACCAGGTGTGGTTAAACAAGGAAGAAAGCAAGTATAACAAATAGTTACTCTTTTTTACTACTCTTGAGGAACTCAAATTTGTTCCACCAATTATAGTTTCAGGCAGAGATTTGGCTGTGATGCAGCAGGCTATGTATATGCTATTAAATTGCAGCTCTAGAGGCTTGGACTCTTTTTGATCTCAAATTTGATCTGACTTTTCACAAGTTTATGAAATCAGAAAGATTGGAGAAACAATATTCTGAATCCTGGAACAATTTACTCAAAAGAACCAGGTGTCAGCACTGCAAAACATGAACCAAGCATCAACTATGCAAAAACTGAATTATGCTAGAAATAATAAAAAAAATTAAAATCCTGTAGTTAAAGAAATAGATCTTCTTTCTCCCCCTCCCCACTTAATTCAAATCACAAACCTGACTGCTAAATCAGCACCACAGTTATAGCCCTGCTTCATTTTGCTTCAGCGGTTGTGGTTATTTACAAAGAAATGCTCAAGACCGAGAAGTTTCAAGCTAAAATATTTAGATATTTGGCTTAAGAACTGCTTACCAGGAAAACAACAGGAAAAGGATGTGGCCTGATAAATGCTTGTGACATCTTCATCAGTGTCATCTATTTATTCATATGAATTTGATTTCACTAAAAATTAATAAGTGTGAGAAGTCTGAAGAGTTCGCGGTACCAAATGAGCAGTAAACGAGCTCCACGTTCAGGCAGCAAGACAGATATTTTTAGACTCACAGCAAATGTTGTCCACTAAAAGCCCTTTAAACCTTTCACTGAAGGGGCATTTAAAAAGGGGACAGAACGGTGCAGGCTCAGCCCCCACACACCAACGCTCTGAGGAAAGCAAGAGATGGGCAGTGGGAAAAGGAGGGGGAAGATGGCACAAAGGAGAGGGCAGGAACAGCAGCTCTTCTTTTGGTTGAAACCCAGGCTGTGGTGCCATGTGGACCCCTTCCTATGGGGACTAACATATCTAACTATGCACACAAACTGTAGCATAATAGAGATACAAAGGCTCCCTTAGATTAGAGGTGACACGAACCTCTCCCTGCCCCAGTTCACACAGTCTTACTCTAACTAAAATGTTACCAAAATTAAACAGAAGGACTCAAATTAATTAAGTGATCGTGTACATGCAGAAAATGACAGGATATATACTTAGTCATATTCTTAATTACTTCCTTTACATGTTACTACATAGTTTCAACACAGTTTCAACCCTTACCACCTGCAAATAGTTCATTCTGAATATGACAGTGCAGACAGAGAAATTATTTCAGAAGAATTTAGGACTTTTAGAAGGGTGTGAACCCCAGTCATGATTGATGCAATGTTGCCTCTCCTGGGCTGCAGACAGGGAGCTGGACACCAGGAAGGAACTGGCTAAAAATATTGTGTTGGCATTGGATATTTGGAGCTGGGAAGCTGCACTCCACTGCAGGTGTCTTGTATAACCTTTGGAAAGTCCTTCTGATTATCTCTGCTTTGATTCCCCACACGTAAAATGGGAAAAAATAACAGACCCTGCCTATGCCACCAGGATAACACTGAACAGGTACATTTAGAAGAGGACAGACAACTCTACTGTGACAGTGCCAAACAGGCAAGCCTGTCATGGTGCCTTGTGATGTCCTGTGCAGGCACCTAAATCACCCTAAAAGTGGTGTGTTCAGGCACAGCAAACACCACACCTCATGAGCACAGTGCTCAGCAGAGATAATACTTGATAAACAGGTTGTAATGTTATCGAAACACAAAACTGATGCTTCCAACTACGCATAAACAAGAAGAGAGAGATTCTCATTTGCAGCAAAATCCCCTGTGCGCTCCACGTCTGACCACAGCAAAATTAAATCTTACTGGTACGTCATGATATCATGAAGACATGCATTGCTGCTGGCCTGTTTAGATTGTAATAGACCATGAGTTGATGTTTGGCACAACCATGGTACACACAGTTTACATAACGAAGTAATAGAGCAGAACACAGAGAAAGTAACATACATTTTAATAAAAAATGATTTTTAAAAGTTTCCCTTTTTTCCTCTCAAACAAGCCTTCTGAAAACATATAGTTTTGTAAGAATATTTCCTTTGAGGAATATCATATCAATATAAACTCAGGAAAAAGCACTGTTGCCAAATTCTCACTGCTGTCACTGCATTTCTAAGTATTTAAACTCTTCATGTTAATTAGCTAAACTCGGAGACTTGCCGCCTTTTAATTTCTGCTACTGTAGGAACACC